TCTCCACAATTATTAAAGATCTTTGGACAATATTTCCTCGCGATTATCACGTACGGAACATCGCTATTTACATTCACTTTTTCTGACTTGCTGAACTTATTCCATACGTGAATGGCCATCGCTTTTTCCACCGTCTTCATTGTTTTGTTCTTGTCTTTTGTCTTAAAGTATACCTTCCATTTCTTGTAATGAATCGGATAAAATGCCGAAGGAGAAAAAACTTTAAAGCCATGACACCGACTTGTGGTCATGTCTCGAACCTGAGGAAAGAAACATAAATGTTATCTACATACATTTTTATTCTCATATTAATTCAACGAATTCGAAATGACAAATTACTTAAATTTAACAAAGTATTTATAGATTTTTTTTAATCAGCGTACTTATTATAAATTCGAAGAGCTTTGCGCGACGTATAATCTTGATTTTTCTAACATGATAGTATGATGCGCATATACACGTGGCAATACATATTAGCATAGAATATTGATTTTTCTGAATATTATAGTTACATAGAATTCTTGACTTGCGTACTATTAACATATATATACTTAATATATATTACTTTCGAGGAAAAAAATTTCTATTAAATCCATTTTTTTATTACACTATGTGATACGTCTTTCTTCAAAAAAGTCAATTTATTATACAAGTATTTAAACTATACTACTCACGTATTTAGTTGAGCAGAGTTTTTGCAGCGTTCTAGTAATCACGCCAGGACCATTGTTGCCCCAAATATCACCTCGAAAATTCGCTCGTACGTCGCGGATGCAGGCATCAGCTATGCGACGACCAAGCGCCGTAGCATCAAATCCCACGACACCGGCGGCAACATTGTCCCAATCCTCGGCACCGGCAAAATTTGTTAAATGTTCGAGAGATCTGCCACAAAACGTGTTTTCGTACAATACATAATCGAATCTTGTAAATTAGTATGCTTGCTTCAATCTATTTCTTAGGTAATCTAACAAATAGTAGAACGTATGAAAATGAATTAAAAATTTTAGGTATTTAAATAAATGGAAATTTGACATTGCTACACGAATTAAGAAGGAGTACTTGTCTAGATGTAATACATGTAAATGACCTATATATTGGGAATAAATTATTGAAAATGATCTTACGTAATGACAACGACATCAAGGTCCAAGTATATTCCTCCGTACTTCCATAGTGTCAAATATCTAAGAATATCTGACATATGACTTCTTGGCCACCGACTTTTTTTCAATATGCCACTTCTATACCACAGGTCCAGAGGTGTGTTCTTTACATATTCCTCGGGTTTGATATGCCTAATCCGAACGTTCGAATAGCTTTGCAGTTGATGAAACATTTCTCTCGATTGGTTCGAGATTTTTGAAGGGGATATAAACAGCAAGTATACGTTCATATTTGGATTCATTTTAGCTGCTGATTCAACGGCACACGCTTGGCGAGCATTCAGCACCAAATCATCTTCATCAAAACAGGATGTTTCGTGGAAGAAGATATTTCTATCTGTTGTTGGTTTATCTGTTGTTAACGTACATAGTTACAGAGTAAGTGATTGATAACTTGAAAGGATGTAACGATAATGTAAAGAGCGTCGCTTTTGTTTTCGTAGATAGCGAGTCAAGTTTACGTAGCAAGAAAGAACAATATGATCAAAATATTACTGTGAATTTCAACTCTTTCAAGTCTTTTAATAATAATTTCTAATATTTTTCGAAATATTAATCATCTTCCCAAAATATCCCGATTGAACAATTGCATAAATCTACGCCAAGTTACGTAATTTGAGCATGTAAAACAAATGGAACAGCGTATGTACGTATATATGTATATACGTCCCTCTGTTGACACGCTACTATAAATTATCTATTTACATGGTATATATGATCTCAGTTTATTCATCTTGATTGAATTTACCGTGTTATTGACAATGATGAAATTTGCAGTGAGTAGCCATTTAAAGACACGTGTATTCTCAAAAAGTTTAGTTCGACTTTTGTAGAATTTTATGTCTTTCGTTTTTAAAATAAAATGAAATTTTTATGAATTTATCCAAAATATACACTTATTCGTTAACTCTGCTGCGTTCCTTTGTTGTAACGTATATTTCTCAAAAATTAAAAAAAAAAAAAAAA